TATGTCAGAACAAGATCAAGAGTGTGATTAAAACAGTGAGTGGGTTTATTTACAGTTTGAGAGAAGCCAACTGAGTCTAATAATGAACAGAATGCATTGTTGAGGCTGTCATTGTCGGCATCTACATGAATATTAAAGTCGCCTACTATAATTATTTTATCTGTACTAAGCACTAAATCAGACAGAAAGTCTGAGAAGTCACTTAAAAACTCTGAATAAGGAGCAGGTGGACGGTATACAATAACAAACAGAACAGGCTTTTGAGTTTTCCAGTTTGGGTGTGAGAGACTCAGGGTGAGACTTTCTATGTTTAGGTCTAGGGTTGATTAATAGGCTTGAGTCAAAGATAGCTGCCACGCCACCACCTCGGCCTGTGTTTCGAGGGACGTGACAGTTACTGTGACTAGGTGGAGTGGATTCATTTAAGCTGACAAGATAAATACACTGAATTTATACAATGTGTAAATGGACAGCTTTTACAGCAGTACCATAATATATTTACAGCATGTGACACTATTCACCTTGACAGAATATGCCAGGGAGATGGTGACAGCCAGCGGCAGCCCCTCCGGCACGGCCACCACCAACACAGTCACACCAATGATGAAGAACTTGACAAAGTACTGGATGTAGATGGGAGTGCACTCTGGCATCCAAGGGTGCTTCTGCATCACAAAGTTGTCAATGGCAAAGTACAGGACCAGGATGATGACTGTGATGGCTGACATGAGCAAACCTGGAAAAGATACAAATGGTATAAATGATAGAAAATGAAAGTGAATTCAAATAAAAGCTAATTGTTCTTACTAAAAACTGTTAAGGTTACAGAGGAGTACTGTTTGATACTTAAGAGAATCTGAATGGAGTATCACTTTCTGTTATACTGTACTGATCCAAGTGGGGAAAGTTGTTTGCCAATTTGTTCCACTGATGTAGCTCTTTAGTTGTTGCCAGTGCCTTAGCCCAGGGCAATAGCAGATGATTCCTAATTCCTACATCAATGCATATAATACTGAGAACAGTGAGAATCCACAGTTTGCCAAAGATGTCCTAAAAGTTTGTAGGACTGTTTAGTTGACTGTATAGACACTGGGTTTTCAAATTGCTATATATAAGCTTACCTTGCCATACAGTGAAATGAAAATGTTTTGTTATGGGAGAAAACCAGCACAATGATAACCATTTTAACTTTAAGTATGCTATAATTAATAAAATCACTTATGGTTACTTTATAGAACACACCCCCATAAGCCTCTCTTGGAGGACATACTGAACTGAAATTGAACAGAGACAATTAACTTTTTAATTACACTTTTTTTGTCTTTTGCTGGATTGTCATTTATGTTGATGACAAATATATTTTCTTCCTTCTGTGATCATTAATGAGGAACACCTGGTGTCAGGTGTCATATTGCTCTTGTGGAGAATGGAGGCAACATTACAAACAATAATGAAGGGAGAGAAGCTCACAGCTGCAGCAGCTGTGAATGTAACAAACACAGCAATTACCAAAGTTAAACAAACTAGACACAAAGTTGGATGCTTTAAACAGTGTAAGGATAAGGATAATCACCTTTAGTTACACACAAGGAATTTGTTTTCGGTACAGAACCGAGGTAACCATTTGCAGTGCCAACCGATGGCTCTAACCATCAGGGGCAACTTGGGGGGTTCAATGTCTTGCCCAAGGACACTTCGACACATGGACTGCAGGCACCGAGATTCAAACCTCCAACCGGGAGATAACTGCTCTACCCACTGAACCACATTCACATAGCTGATGAAATCACACACTGAGTAACTACATGAAAATCATTGCATTTAACTACACAATCTAGTTTCTTTCATTTTGATGATGAATGTAGTGGGTGTCCAGTGAGGTGGTTGGGGAAGGCAGAGTGTATGTGTTAGCCTTGTGGTGTCTCCACTGCGACATGTGTACCTGTAGCCCCAGACAGTATAGCTGTGTGTTCACTGAAAAGAAAAAAAAAAGACAGTTTAGCTGTGTGTTCAATGAAAAAATTTTTTCCAAAAAAAAAAAAACATGTATAGTTAACTTAATAATTTATATAATATAATACAATTTGATGCTATTAGGTGATTTTTTTTCAGGTAATGTGGTTGAAATTCAAAGAATTCAAAGGATATTCTGAGTTAAACTCCGGAAAAGGCCAACCACACCTTTCCAGTCCCACCACCCGACACACCCTGGGACCATCCCTCCCATTTCAGCTGTGCTGTGGTGCACTCAGCAACTGATCCAAACCAGGTGAGAGCATCCTACAGCTGCATCATCTCCTCTGAGCTCTGAGGGTTTTGGTAATGTTGTGATAAGCCAGTGCTGAGTGCTCAGTGCTTAAGTATTAGTTTAATAATGCACCACAGATGGTTAAGATATGAGTTGGTCTGTCTCTTTTAAACCAGAAAGGTGCTTGTGGAACAATTAGTATCTTTTAAGCACAAACACTATATAACACAGTTGACCGTAATGTGTGGCTTATCAGGAGAGCTCAGAGATCAGATAAACCATAATAACATACAACAGAGGCCGTTATGTGTATTGTTATAAGTCCAAACATTTTCTGCCAGACCTGCAGGAGCACCATATGATCTTACAGTTCTGTTTGGATGCTAATCTATTCAAGGTAATTCATTATCACCAAGTCCTCATTCCATCATCCAGGCCAACAGTCTGTTGCAACAACGCAGTGAAAAAACAAAAACATCTTTAAGGGATTCTCTAAAAATGAGAAGCGATCAACTCCCTTAAGAGTGATCAAGATGTTTTTTTTGAAGATTTTTGTGATTCGACTTAAAAATCCTAAATTCTCCAGGCTGGTCCAGAAACATTTGAATTTCTTGGGTACCATTTGCTCTGAAGTAATCCTGCAGTACTACTGTATGTTGCTGCTGGGAGGACACCCACAATGTGGGCATCCTGGCATGTGGGCATCTGTTACTAATAATGCTTGCCAGTACAGATCTACTGCAGTGTGTTGGACATCAACGTCTTTGTGCCATTAATTCCCTTAAACTAAATGACAAACAATTGATTATAATATTGATTGTTAAATTGCCAAAGTGACCAAACTGCCATAATTCAGACATTAATTCAACAACTCCCCAGAGGACAGGCCATTTGGAAAAATTATGTGCATAAGCGCTTCTAAGGTTCCACAATTCAAACACTCCCAGTCTGCTTGGATTGCTTTAAGCAACAAAGAAGTGACTCTTATCAGAGCAATATCTTGCTTTGCTGGACAGGATGATGATTCATTACATTGTTGTGCCTGATTTAATTGTCTGACTGAGTGATGGACAAATTACTCTATGAGCAATTTGCTGTACCTGCTTTGCCAATCTGGACGGCCAGTTTGGTCAGCTTCCCTTGCAGCACAGACTTTTCTTTCTTTGGAACAGACACCTTCTTCCTCTCTTTCTCGTCAGTCTCTCCACCTTCAGCGCTCTTTAGAGGCTGCATCTCCATGGCAGCTGCTCCATCCTGCTTCTTGACTGTAAACATCACAAAAAACAGAGAGCAGTAGCGTTAGACATGAAGATTAGACCAAGGAAATGAGGAAGAAGGGAAAGCCAGGTGTAAGCTTTCACATACAGGATTGTTTATGTTTGTCCCTGCACTGTGTTCTTGGAAAAATAAAAAGGATTGTGAGATTTAGAGTATGTCATGAATAATTCACTAGTCCTATGACCAAGGTACAAGCCATGTTCACAGATTATGTAGAAGCCTGCTAAACATTTGCAGAAAGTGAGGAAAAGGAAACCTACTGTATACGTACTGTGTAAAACACACACAAGGAAAACTCAGTGTAACAAAACAACCACAAAAGAAACTGAAATATTGAAAAGGGATGAGGTGAGAAAAACAAAATAAAAAATAAAATCAAACACATCAATATGGAAAATATATTAGTTTTTAGTTCAAAATTGAGTCCCAAGCCTTCTGGAGGTTTGTTTCTTCAGAGGGTAGGAGAATAACTAAACACTGATCGGTAATGGTTTAGTTGTTTTTTTACACTAAGAACACTTTTACAAACCAGGATTACATGCCCATGGAGTTATAGAGGGCTCACAGTCTAAACGCCAAGTCAGAAATATATATTAGCCATTAAGTGTATAGATAACAGCAGTGCGTTAAAATAAGTTTTGCACCATACTGGAAAACCAAAAGAAATCCTAGTTGAAGGTTAAGGTATTTCAAATTTCATACTGGCAATAATATGATAATTGGTCTGCATGAAAAATGGTAGAAAGACAAAAAAAAAAAAAAAAAAAAACTCTACATGGTTGAAACCACTTCTCTTCGTGATTGCCTTTTCTTCTCTTCATCATCATGACAAGAATGTAATCACTGGAAATCTTCAAATCACATAAGTTAATATAACCATACATTTTCTAAAACAAACCATCTCATCAGAAAGTGGGTTCAAACACACAAAACAGAATTACCCTGTAGACCGTTAACATGCATTTTAAATGACCTCTTGCAGAAAAAATACAATACAATAAAACTGCCTCCAACAGTCACAAAGTCCAAAACAAAATGGCTATAAAAATCACTTTCTAAAACACCTTTAACACATTACATATTATAAACCACTCCTGTCAGAGAGTAGCTCATAGCTTTTCTACTTTATACTACTGGGAAAATTGGAACAAGGTCTTCAGTAAAAAGTACTGTTCAGACTGTAAAACTAATGCTCAGTTGCCTCACTCTGTCTCCGGTTCTTTCTTGCTCACACACACACACACACACACACACACACACACACACACACACACACACACAGCATCTCTACTAATGTAGCCCATTACCAAGAATCATTTCAGCCCAGTTTTCCAATTACAATGAGGCCTGTGTTTGATGCTTACAAAAAAACCTTTTAATATTAAAGATTTGTCATACTCTCTGGTTGTACATTTTGTTTTTCCACCCCCATAACACCAGACAAAAAGTGCGTTGTTTGTATCCAGCTGTATGCAGGAGAGGACTAAAATCACACTTGAAATTAAAACACACTAAGAACAACAGGTTCATCTTCTAAAAGCTGAATTTTGTTGTATATTCTAGCAACGCTGAGCTAGCCTGTGATCGCAGGAGTCACTTGGAAAAGAGGATTCTAACCTCTATGGGATTGCCTCTGGTTAAATATTGGTTAAATTGCACCATCAATATAGCCAGATGTTAAATCTGACACCTATATCACAATAAGGTGTGATGTATCTTCATATATCCTTTTGCCTTTCTGCTTTGTTGATGCTTTGACTTTTTCAGCTTCTGTCTGTTATTCCATCCAACTATGCTGTTGCATTAAGAAAGGAAACATATTTTGGTACCCTTGTTAGTCAGACCAGACTCAAAGAGTGGTGAAATAAGTCAAATGAGGAGTGATAAGGATGCCAATGATTTTGAAGTTTAAAGTTAAAGATGACTGAACAAAATATTGGTCTGCATGAACAATAACATGTTCCTGGTATTAAAGGATGACTCGACTGTTCAATTACCAAACATTTCTTTTCAAAATGTAAAACATTTATGTTATATTATTGGGAATTTAAATGCTTTTGTGTTTTTTTTTATCAGATGTGATAACAGACAGATTAAATTAAAAACATTAAAAATAAAGCATTAGTAACAGCTCTACATGACATAAAAACAGATCACAGTGTACCTTAAATCCCAGACCCAAGTCAAATCATATTATGTGAAGAGGATTTCCTGAAACGGTGCAAGGAGGAAACCAGGTGTAGTATATAACTTGGGAACAGTACTAAGAGGACAGTTTCTGGGGTTTTTGGTGCATAATGGTAACCCAAGTGATGTGAATATACTAGCTGAGGGACAGGTTGCTGTTCTCTCATAAAGAGCAAGACAAATCAACAAAACAAGAACAACAGACCAGGGACAATACATCAATGACACACAGAGTGAAGAGGAGGGATTTTCTAAGCTAGTAAGACTGTGAGTAAAATCTGGATCAAATAAAATGTCCAATTCCATTTAAGACTTACAGTATATATGACTGACTAAGTCAGTGGCAGACAGAGAATGGACTGTCAAAATCCCCTGAAAACTATTTTGAATTAGCACTGCACAATCCTTTAAAAGACAGCTTTATTTATAACCATGTGGGCTGAAATAAATAAAGCAACAGAGGATTTCCCACATGCATTTGACCCAGAGCTTCACTACACAAAAAGGGAAAAGATGAGAGGAAGGGGGAGGAGGGGGAGGATCAGAGGAGGCAGGGAAGGAGGAGTGAAAGATATGGTTTGGTTACCTTTAATCTGGTTGCTCTCCATATTGCCATCTTGCATTTTACCTATGATGGAGACATACAGGACAATAACAACAAAAATAACCAAGGCGGACAAGTAAACAAGTAACCACAGAGACAGCACACAGTGAGAATCAAAGACCACAAACAGAGAGACAGGAAAATGACTTTTAATACCACATCTCTGAGAAAGTCACATAAAAAAGCTTGTGATATGTAAGTGATGTAATGTAACTAGCAGCTGCACCTACTGGCAAGGGGCTGACCAAACAAAATGTACCTGAATTATTTTAAGACTAGCCAGAAACACATACTGCAATGTGCATTTTTTTTTATAATAATGAAGGACATTAGGTTTTCATAGACTTTATTTTATTTGAACCATTCAAAATCATAAAGTAATTGAAATGCTTAGTGGGCCTTTCTGAAATAAAAAGATTTTAACATCAAATTATATTGAGTGTAACATACTGTAACATTATGCTGAGCATTAAAAAACTGCACACTTTCTGCTAAGTTTTTTGAGTGACATATTCACACAGTGAGCACAGGTAATTCCACGTTATCAAAAAATATGAGTCAGATTGTCAGGGTATAAAATGAGATATCTCGACATATCGTAGATACAGCATTTACACTGAACACCGACAGTGAGGGAGAGTACATCATAAACACATACGGTACGCACAAACAACGGACAGCATGCATAAGAGGAAAATTCAGAAAGTACATGCAAGATAACACACTTGGAAGGAGATATGAACAATACAGAGAGAGAGTGAGAGAGAGAGAGAGAGAGAGAGAGAGCCTGAAGGAAAAGCCTTCCACTTGGCTAAGTTATATAAGAACAACTGGAGGTGAACTCTAACTTCAGGAACAATGAATTTATTTTGCAGCTGCTTAGACAAATGGTGAACTTAAATTAAATGTGTTGTTGAATCAAACAATAATGCTTCAAATTACAAAATCATTTTGCTTTTAGCCTAACAGAACAATAAGCCTTTGACAAGTGCACATAAAGTATACACCCTTTTCTAAGCTGTAGGAACATAAAACTAGAAAGTAAACACTTCTATGCTTTCAAATCAAACACAATATGTCTGCAAAGCAAGATGACACAATTAAGAAAGCATTTATTAAATACTGCAGCATTGATCCCATTAACTACTCAAGCTATAATTATAAAGATATGGAGTGTTAGTGGTTAGAACTCCAGAAATTAGACAGAATCTGTCTTTTAATTCTTTATACTCAAATGTCAGTGAGAAAATTACTCGAGCAGAGCCGGAAGACCAGATTTTCTGCATGTCTGTGGAGAACAAATGCCTCGTTTCATCTTAATAACAGCCACTTCCCTGGAGTCACAAAAATGATGACAACAAATCACTCTGTTCCAGCCCAGGGCAGCACAAGGTCACCATTACAGTGCAAATCATGCCCCCGCTGCCTTGAGTACCTGTACTTTAGGGTTGCTCTCCGAGGCGATGAAGACAGAGCTCAGTGAAAGAAGAAATGAATTTAATCTTTTTGCTCATCCAGCTAACATAGAAATGGAGGATTTTCATTAAGTGATCTCCGAGGACGCCTAACTAAAGGAGATGGCCCTCCAGTAGGCCTTTGACACCACCATTCAGCTAGCGTCTTGTTTCCTGTCAGCAATCACAATTAATAGGGCCAAACAAAGAAATAAAAACAGCTCAACAACACAATTTAAATTGACAGTTCTATATTTTTGGGAAATATCCTTATTCACTTTCTTGCTGAGATAAATTAAAAGATCAATACCACTCTCATACTGTTCATTCAATATGTAGCTACAGCCAGCTGTCAGCTAAATGTAGCTTAGCTTAGCACAATGAGTGGAAATGGGGAAACAGCTAACCTGACTCTGTTCTGCTGTTAAAAAAAATAAAAAAAATTCAGCCCATCAACATTTCAGAAGTTTACTGTCTTTTACATTTAGTTTGTTCTTTTTTTGAAAAGTAAAGAAACAGCAGATGGAGGTAATGACTGTTTCTTGACCTAGTGTAGTGGCACTGATACGACCGTCTCTCAGCAAGAAAAAGAGTAAGTGCATTTCCCAAAAATGCTTTAAAGACACCCCAATATAAAATGGCTCAGAAGGATTTTACTACTTCTTAGCATTGCATAACCATAAAGAGAAGAAAAAGAAACGAGATTAATTTCTAGAACTAAAGAGGACATGCATTGACAGCATGGATACAAAGAGTCCAGCACAACTGAGAGAGAAAGTAGAGCAGAACAGGAGGTGAGCACCCATGGTAAGAGGCAGCTGGAGAATGGTTAAGGTAGAGGGCGTCAAAAGCCACGACGGAAAGAGGTCGGAAATCAGAGGTTTTATCAACCTACCATTAATTAGGCTGGCACTGCCAGGGGCAGTAATGCCTGCAGCCCCATCCGTGGCTATTGTTGCGATGGGGTGGAGAGGGGGATGGGAGCAGTCTAGCCAGTAACAATGTGGGCCAAACATGAATGAACAAAAACACACACGCGCGCCCACACACAAACACACGCACGCACATGCACACACAAGACAATGAACAGAAATAACATGGTTATAGCACATTTAAGAGATTCAGCATATGTAGGCTGTATGTGAAGATAGAAGTGTAGATTCTGAATGTATTTATTTGTATATGTAGTTATTATTACAGTATAGGTGCCTAACTACTGTGATGTACGAGAGACATGAGTTTCAGAAAAATGTTATTAAACAAACAGTGTAACACTGATCAGACATGAAATCTGAACATAATGTGAAAAACTATGTAACAAAAGTGAAACCAGAGCTACAGAAAAGATAAACCTACAGTTTGTTTCATTGTACTGAACATAATGTTATAGTAGTGATTATACTGTATTTCACGTCTGTCATATTGGGTTTTTGATTGCATCTATCTAACTACCTTTACTTTTTGGCAGTGTGAAGTTTACTCAAACCATGTTATTCATGTAATATCTTTTTTTCATTACAAAATCATAATTTGCACAAAAAATCTGAAACAAATAAGCTACAAGATGTTGCATAACCAATATAAAATTAAACTGTCCAATGCAAAGTAAACAGAACTTAAAAGGGCCCACATATTAGCCAAGGAAATAGACATGTGCCAACCAGTTAAGTGATGGGCGAACCCATTTCACTAGTGTTAATTTGAGAAGGTGTCAGAACCTTTGCTTTAGGCCCATTGTGGTTATAAATCATGTTTAAAACCTGGAATGGATCTGTTTATGTCTTTTGATAGCAGTCACATAAACTGTGATTACTGCCAAAAAGGAAATTCAATGAAAGGTCAAAATTTGTTTTCCTGTTTGCTTTTGGTTTCTCTATCTAGAACTAATTGTTAACAGAAACAGAATGACTAACAGTTTTTAAACTTTTATCAAAATTAATTTATCATCACACTGAAAAATCTTGACAGTTTTAAATTAAACAGCACATCGCTGATTTGGTGAAAATTCCCTATGAATTTGCAATTGACCTTCAAAAAGGTCTGAATTACATAAAGGTAAGACCAACTTTAACAAGTTATATTTCCAGTATGTATTCTTAAACAAATTCATTTAAAGTTGCATTAAAATGTACTAATAAGGCCAGCCATACGTGAAGTACTGAGTACACGATGTATGGTACAGTGATAGAAAGTTCTACCAGTGAAACTTAAAATAACAATTTTAGTAGAATCTGTAGCTTTAAAACATGGATCATGGATGATTAAGGATGTGTTAACATAAAAAAACCTTTCAGTGAATTACAGTTCAAAGTGGATTTGGACACCAGATTGTGTTACAGTTTGCTGTTGGTTAATCAGAAACCTGGTATGATTTTCCCTGGTTTGATCAATGTGATTTGATTGACATTAATAAATCCTAAAACCATGCTACTGCCAGATCAAAATCATATTGTCAAAGCACTACAGTTACAGTACAGTCAAAACAAAAAGGGATATAGTTTTTGTTAGTGTTTAGATCAGAAAAAGAAAGTATTATCCACAGAGGATGACACGTTTACTGTTACCTTGCATAATGTGGTACTTCTGAGACATACAACATACAGTACAGCACACTATCAATGGAAGCTACTGGTGTTCCTGCTTATTTAAACTACAAATCTGTCCAAAGAGGCACTGGTAACAGTAGCAACAAATCACTACTGATGTAAAAATATGTATATGTAAGATGTACAAATAGCTTGTGCTTTCTGCTTTACTCTCTGCTGCTGGTACATGTGCTGTACACCTGCAAGGCTCTCGGTTTCATGGCATTGTTCTGTAATACACCAAGGAGACGAGCCTGACAGCATTTCTTTATTCATGGCATTCAACATGTCAGTGAAGCAGGATCGATGCTGAATGCTAGCTATTTAATACAGTGCCTGTTATAGGGAGAGAGAATTATGCATTGTGAAATGTGTCATCTATCTGCACTTAAAAAGATGCAGTGCTATGATGATGAAGCTTCTCTTTTTAAGTGAGGAATTAAAATGAGGCAAAAGGTGCTTGGTTACAGAAAAGTGGTGAAGAGTAATAGTGGTTTATTGGGGATCATCAGGGCCTAAAGGTCAAAAGGATCAAGTACCACTCCCACGGTCAGAGAAAGGTGATACTCTACCTGTATTTTGGTGTCCGTCTTCCACTGCCCCTCCTTCGGGATGAATTTGGAACGATAAGAGAGTAAGGACAATAATGCACCTGAACCCACAGACCCGGGAAACTGCCAGTCACAACTGTACCACCAGTACTCATTTCATAGAGTATTTACACTGATTCAACTTACTGTCAGGCACCTACAAAATACCTATAAGACATACAGTTCACTTAAGTTAAACAGGCAGACACTTGAATGAATTTGTTTAAAACCCCTCTAATAACAAGAACTGTTACAAACACTAGCACACAGATTTTCAGCACATAAGATAATTATGTGACAAAAACCTTTTCAAGGGTGCATTGCTGGGCAACACTGACCAAAACAAATGACTTCAGTACTCCTGAAGCAACTGCAGAAAACTCTTAATGGACATGGTTATATATATATAAAAAAGAAAAGATTAACAAACTATATAATGGCCATACCTTTCTTCTCTTTCTTCTCCTCTTCCTCTGTGCTGGCCCCAAGCAGGGTGAAGATGATCCCGGTCTGAGAGTTGACACCGACGGCAGTCACCACCATGCGGCCTGACCCCTCCATCACATGGGTCCCTGGAGAAGGGGCAGTACAGAGAATATTAAATTACATTTAGGCTAGAAATATGTTCATTGAACATATGCACTTTGTGTTCCAGCACTAACTGTGTGTATTTGTGTTGAATGAAAGACTCTGGCAAACTAAAACAGCACCATACCATATACAACACAGACTTTATATTGAGCTTAAACAACTGTTTTCTTCTCCTAAAAACAAAACTATCTTTTATTTAAAAATGTTGATTGTTAATTTCACTCTTTGGGCAATTTTCCCTTGAATCTTTTTGTACAGTATGAAGCAGCTACACTTCCTCACTTTGCCTTAAAAACTGAAAGTCAGCACTTTAACCTTAGTCACTGTGATATTTTACATCCAAAGTGCTAGAGCGAGAGAGCGAGAGAGAGCCAAAATCAGTAAAAAACTGTGTCAGTGTGCAAACGCTGTATTTGCAGGCCACACTAAACTTCTGTGCATGAGCATATGTACAGTATGCACAAAGAAAATGATCAACCTTTGTGAAAGTAAGTCACTGTGAGTGAATATGAGGCTAAATAAAGGAGACAGTAAAAAAGGCATGCAGTTCATTATCCACAGGAGAAAACACCATGATGTGTGAGCACATTAACTATATTTCTGTTATCAGTGATGTTCTTCATTTCTAAGAATCCTGCAGCTGAAAATTCTGGCATCTCTGCTGCAGCATATACTAAACCGATAATGAGAAGAACTAGATTAAAAAATTGTCTGCAGGCACTCGCCAGTGCCTTCTGCATTGATATTCAAATTGTGATTAGCAACCTTTTGTTTTATGCCTGTCTGTGACTTAAAATTCATTTGATTTTATCAAAATAAATTCAATAAAAGGAGCCAAGCAGACCAAACCAAAGCCTAATAAAGAATGGTAGGCAAGCCTCAATACACAGTACAACCATTTGTCTAAAGCATTTAAGTTGACTGTCAGCTGAAATGATTATAAAAACCCATGGTAATCAAGTACTGTACCTTAAGGGCAATAAGAATTTTATAATTCTGTACGTAGTTTAAAGGCAGTGAATGGAAATAAAAGCTTGTAGCATTAGGCTAGTAGGTGAACCAAATCAACCCACTTTATTCCTATTTATGTTCAATTCTGGTGCAGGATGATAAATTTGCACCAGCCACTCGATGAAAAATGCTAGAGAGCTAAGTATAGACATGTCTGAGAGATTAACTCCAAAATACTTTCTATTTTGTAAAGCTGGAGATACAAAATTTAATTAACATTATTGCTAAGTGTGATCAATATATGTATATTATTCTGTAGTTGAGGGGAATCAAAAAATTTACTAACTTCAAACTAGAAGAGGGAAAACACATCATATAGTAGGTGAAGTCCTCAATCTCAAAGTCAAGTCCCCGCCTCTGCGTTTTGTCCCTTTCTCCTTTACACCAACATCACATGCAGGAAAACTCAACTGTGACAGACAGGATACTACCATCCATCAAGAGAGAACACACTAGTCGCCAGCGTACCAGACAACAGCATGGGGTCCTTGTCTGCAGCCTTCCTGACATGATCGGACTCTCCAGTGAGAGATGACTCATCAATCTTCAAGTCATTGCCGGAAGCAGATCACCTGCAACACATGACAAGAGATTTATTGACATTTCTAGAAGTTGCCTTACACAACACAATGTTGCTCATTGCATGAGCCTCTCTGCAGCTAATTAATTGTTGAACTGTAGCTTAAATATATTTAAGTGCTTAAGGTGGACTTCATAACTTTAATCCCCTTCTGGAAATGAGGTGGAAGTCTATTTTCACCTACTGAGCCATGAAAATGGCTTTACACAGAACAATCAAGAAGCAGGTTGACGCAGTCAGTGGGCATGTTTAGAAAGTTTAGTCAGTTTTGGTTAGTAATCATGTTTCAGAACTGACTACAGTTGTAGGGAAGATTACAGATGCTTCAGTGACAATTTTATAAAAGATGTGAGTTAAATTTGTCTCTGTTTTGAGGAATATATGTGAGTCTTAAAACACAGTCAGGTGCCCAAATAAAAAAGTAATGATGCTGTAATCATTCCTCCTGATTATATTGAACATTAAGTACATTAAGTGAAGGAGGCCAAAATCTACAATGCTCTCTCTGTGCAAAAATGTATTCAAAAAATTTCCTTAGATTTATGAGGCTTTATCAGTCTGAGTTGGTCTAATCAAGAGGATGCCTTCCTACAGTTTTTCTTAATATAGAATTCCCTTGTTTTGTTGCTATGTCTCCACAGCAGATCAACAAGCAACACTGGAAACACTACCTGGTTTCAATGTTGACATAGGCACAGGGCTAATACAGACTTTAACAATTGTGAATCTACCTTTAAAAGCTCATATCTAAGCCACTTACTTCAAGTTAAAACTTTGAATGGACTGTGTTTCACAGCTCTATGGTCTTTGAATTTATACCATGAAGATATTGCCCCTTTGAGCTTACTCCCTTTACTGTATGTCATAGAGTGAGTCAAAGTTAACACACAGAGTTTCACAATCTCCACACACCTACCGTATTTGATCTGTGCAATATCCCCCACCACTATGTCAGCCACAGGCAGCTGTATGACCTGGCTACCGCGGACCACCTGAAACTTCTGCTCTTGCTCGATTCGGTTCTGCAGCCCACGGAACTGCTTCTCCTTCGACCAGTCATTGAAGGCTGTAACCACCACCACACACACCACAGACAATAGGATGGCTGCACCCTCGATCCAGCCAGCATCCGCCTCACCCTCATCCTCTACCCCACCTGCCGCCGCGCCACAGGCTGCAGTTTGGTAACAGTGACAGGAAGGAGAAGAAGACAATTGAATCGGTCATGCATTTGTAAGCACTCTGTGGATACTAAAGTATTTTGTTGACACAAACCCAATACTAAGTCACAGGTAAACAGTAGAGGCTGATTATTAATGTTGATTATGAACTGTAACACTGTAATCTAAGCTCACACACTAGGGACTAAAAATCTTTGGACAAAGACAGCTGTGACTGTGTGTGCAATATGTGTGAACATATATGGTCTAATTAAGTGGATACATCATTAATTTGCTCTACAGTACTTCATATAAAGGCCCTGTGATCTATTGCTGTGCATCAACAGACTGGGGTATATTTGAGAATGAAAGAAAAGACCTAATCCCAGTTCTCCTCTTGCTGCACTATGTAATGCTGCTGAAGTGACTGTGCTCCACATGCCTGGCTAGCTGACTTCAAAAGTTCCCCGTTGGGTGATTTGCTTTGGACTATAAAATACTTGTGGCTCACAAGAGAACTGGTGCAGACCCCATTTTATAAGCAGTGCATATGCAGGGTTTCGTTTAACCAAGAGCTAGATTCCAAGAAGCAATCTGGAACTTTGGAACAAACATCCTTGATCTGTTGAGATTACCAGTACTAGTGCACTCAAATGTGTATTCATGGAGGTTTGTAGATTTAAATAAACATTCAAATTTATGGATTTATTTAAATTATTAAATGTTGTTCTTTGTTATTTATTTGTTTATCACATTGTCCTATGAAGATGAGTCATTTTATGTCATACCACATTTTTTCAGTTAATCATGTTTGTTCAAAGAAAGGAGCTCCTCAATTTGACAAGCGACAGCTCAGTTTAAGATTCAAAATTTGTCTACCCCCTTAAAGGGTAAGGTCGGTCATTTTCTATATTAACAGTATTTTCAACACTCCCCATACAGAGACTAAAACCAACAATGAATTGCCTCTACTCATGATTAATGTCTGAAAGTCTTATTTGTCTGTGCCATCGACCTCCACTGATGTTCGAAAGAGATTAAAAACACATTAGGGAAACAAAGGCTCCTAAAGTCCATATCTTTTTATGGCATCTGATATAATCAAGAGTCAACGGCACCTGTATGATCTCTGGATATTCTTAACACCAAGAGCAGCGGTTGTTGATTTTACTATGTAGCAAAAAAAAAACAGTGCAAAGGTTCCAAAAAGGTTGTTCATCAAGAACTGTCAAAACATTATTTATCTAAAACCAAATGATTACTAATTCTTTCTTTTACTGGAAGAACCAAAAAACAATTAGACACAATACAATAGCCCAGCAGATTTTGATTCAAACAACTGTCCTGCGTGGACACTGCAGCGTGCCAACAGTAGCACACACAGTGAGTACAGTAGCTGTCCATGGTTCTGATTGTACAGCTCTTAGTATTCAGCCACGTAAATGTAAACCAGTGTCTAAAATGTTCCTCACACATATTCATGTAGATATTTGTAGCTGTTCATGCTGCTCAAGTGCCAACAAAACATCTGACAAAGCACCAACAAGCCATACAAGTTTCATATATAAATGAGATTTAAGTCATCCCACCACCTACTGTTTATAGACCTTTAAGTGTTTTTTTGACCTATTGATAAACAGTATCCAGTACATAAATGTTTTTAAAAGTTTCATTTGGGGGGAGGGGCTTTAAATATTTTTCTGCAGCATAAAGTTAAAACTATTTGCTATATTATAGTTATTGCATATACTTTATGATGAAAATCTAGTCAATCAATATTTTTGATATGTTTGGCCAACTGGGTAAATCATTTATTTAGTCTCTGAATCATAACAAAATAAATTAACTCCAGTCAATATTTTCATCTTTCTCTGATAATTCTACTTCCATAAGTTTTATAAACCCCTTAAATTGATGACTGGTCTCTTTGGCAGGATAGCTGAATTCCATTACTGAGATAATGCTGGGAGTGATGACTGATGTTGCTGACTCAGCGCCCCGTTATGGTCTCTGTCTTCATTTCCTGTTTCACAGCTCACAGGGCTGATGTATGGGCACTGGGAGCTCAAGGTTATTTCTCTATTCAACACTTCATTAACTTTCCTGGTACCTTCCATGCACACATTTGGCACATTCATAATGTGCATGCATGCACACATGAACACAAAATTATCTCTGTGCTTGAAGACATTTCTTGACCTCTTGAGGCAGGTTACAAAAGAGCGGGACCTGCCCCACCAATGTGCCAGTGGTATTATAGTATTGTGTCCTCTGTAACAGTGGAGAGAACTGTGTGTTTCTGGTTTTGGCTGAAAACAAATGACAGAGAGAAAATTTGGACAGAAGTCGCATCACACAAGCTGCCTCACTTACATGCTCCGCTGCTCTCGCCGGGAGGGTGGTAGAAGGAGAGGCCCAGGGAGATCAAGGCAGCAATCTCCAGGATGATGAGGGTAACATCCTGCAGGGCCTCCCATACCAGCTGCAGGAAGGTTTTTGGCTTCTTTGGAGGTATCAGGTTTTTCCCAAATATTTCTTTTCTCTTGTCAAGGTCAGGTTGGGCCCCTGCGAGACCTGGGAGAGGAAGACACACAGAGAAGGAAAACAATTAGAGATGTATTCATAGAACAGGACATCACTGTGCAAGATGTTCTTGCTGATGTACAGCACAGCAATAACTTTTATATTGTACTTTATATGTTAATAGTTAACATAACGATAACAAATAGGGAATATCATTTATATCCCCACAGTTCTTATAACAGCTTTAATGTAAAAAGTGATCCAACACCAGCATTGTAATCTATAATATTTTCATGCTTTCTTTTTCATTTCTGCTTTTCTTTTGCTCTCTTTCTCACTCTCACAACACACACAGACCATCTGTAATTACCACTTTGAGTCATGGTGGGCCACAGCTCTGCATTCTGCTCAAGAGACGAGGGCCCTGTGTTTTGACCTCACCCACCCACCTCATACACAATAAACTACTTACTATACATACATACTTCTGCTCTTTCATCTGAAGAACTTCATACTGGCTCAAGGCACAATTTACTTTTAGAATAAGGGCCATACAATTATTTTTACACACCACAAACAACAAAAGGTCAAATACAAAACACATGCAGTAGTTTGGCAAGAGCAGTAGTTCAACTCTGTAATGCACTACGTATTAGCATGCTTTTTTGCATGTCATTGTAATTTTTATTTTATTTTTAATAGTTATTTTTTTATCTTTTCAATATAGGCATAATTAGGCATGAGTCTGTTCTTGATTATCCTTTATATGAACCTTACCTAACAAACCTTAAAACTGAGCCCATCTTAAATTACATACTGTTTTTATATCTGGGTTCAGTCTGTATGGTTATTGTTGAATCAAATTTCAAAGGGATAAAGTTACAATATCATTCAACAGAAAAGTACTGTGATTGATTTTATAGGTTTTTTAAAATCTGCATTCCAGCCTTACATAATAGACCATAAAAATCAATACATTTTGTCTACACTATTATACTTCAAATTATAATATAAATATTTATATTGTATAATTATGGCAAGCCGTTCAGGAAATAAATGGACTAAAAATATTGATTGAAACTTGTATATATTGATTGAAAAGCTGAATATATTGATTGAAACTTGAGAATATGGATTGAAAAGCTGGATATATTGAATGAAACTTGAGAATATATATCGTATTTTCCGGACTATAAGTCGCACTGGACTATACGTCGCACTTTTTGGGGGAAATATATTTCATAAAATCAGAGACCAAGAACATACATTTCATCTTGAAAGGCAAGTTATCTTAATAACAATAAAATGGAGAACAACAGGCTGAATATGCGTCTGTTAACATAACGTGAATAGGCGGTATGTTAACGTAACATATTAACAGTTGTCCGTGCTCTGATAGAGAGGCGGTTGCGTTGCATGAAGCGGTAACACCAAGAAGGTCCTCCCACAAAGTCATTTATATTCATTATTTTCACTAGTCCCTCACAAGTTTCTCGTTCACTCCAAACTTTCTTTCTGCTGCTCGATTACCGTTTTCGGCTGCATATTTCACTACTTGCAGCTTGTAATCTGCAGAATATGATTTTCTTTTTGGGGGCATTTGTGGTCAGTCTTTCTCAGTTGTCTTTATAAGTTGATGTTTACATTTTCAGTGGTACAGTAGTGATAGGCGCGTAGATACTGGCACACAA